CTAATAAAAAGAAATGTTTTAAAAGATGAATCAGAACTTAAGAAAGATGCACTGTATCCTCAGGAATATGGGTGTTTACTATTTTTAAATCAAATCTCTGCCCCATTATTTTAAAACAGTAACCTGGATCAGGCTATACATTCTCTCTCATCTTCTTTATACAAGCAGTGAGGTAGCAAGATCATCCCTTCCTTCCCCATCCATCAAATTTGCCTGTTCTGCCAGACTCTCACACTTGGTTATAACAATCAAATGGCATACATCTGTAAAATCCAATTCATATAGGTCAAAACTGCACTGTCAGTTCCCAAACAATGTTACTGTATGAGGGAGATCAATCATGCTTTTAAGGCACATGTCCGTCATATTCTATGTAGATATGCCCCATTCAAATGGTACGCCACATGGGGTTACACGTATAGCTAGTAGATAAGAAAACATGGTCTTGTCTCCCCATCTTACTACAGTAGAATATCAAGGAGAAACTGTCATCTGATCTGGCAGTTTCGGATTCTGTTTTCTGACAGGAATGTCAAAGTCTAATTGGCTGAAGAGCCAAACTCCTGCACTCAGCAGATGCCCAAGGACCACACTCATAATTTTGCACTAAACCACCACTGGTTTTGATGAGGGAAGGAGGCCTGTAATGGAACTGCTGGTTAGCTTCTGAAATTACTTCTTGCTATCCAATCCCAATATACCATTCCATCTCAATTGCCAAAACCCCTTCAGTAGCAGTACTCTAGGTGCTATATACCACTCCTAGATGAGATCACCCACATACAGCTCGCAACTCCACATCATCTAAACCCTTGTCCATGTGCCACTGCTTCAAAATCGTCTTACCTACAAAAAGAAAACCAAAAATGCTGCCCTGCTCATTATCTCACTAAACACCCCTGTCATCCAAATCACCCTTTTAATGGGTCCAAAGTCAGCACCACACCATTCCATGCTCTTCCCCTTTGGCACTAAATCTTGGCAAACAGCATGCTTTCCAGACTGCTTGCACTGCTGCACTCCAGACCGATGCTGTTGCATAATGTGGCAAGCACTGGCAGGCCAGTGTACTTTTCCTACTAAGTAAAAGCAGTATTCCTACCTACTAAGCAGTATTCCTGGGCCTAAACGTGGTACAATTATCAGTGAGGAGTGTGGCTTGTGTTCTGTGGGCATCACTAAGGGAAGCCAAGAGGCCTGATAAGAGCCCTCATTGAAAATACAAGAGAATGGCAAACAAAATCACAGTCAATTCTATGCCCCTGCTGCTGTCTAAACATGCACAGGAGAGTGCCTTAGCTGTGTTTGCCTAGCCGCATTTTTGTTGGTAATACATATAGAAAGGAATACAAATAGGCTGCATACATTTTTAAAATGCTTGTCTAACAGTTTATTTGAAGTTTTGTGTCAAGTTATGCACAAACAAACATTCTTTCTATGATTTCCTGTTGAGAAAATAATCTGAACCATCCAGATAGGATTGTGTCATGAGTTGTAAATGTACTGGTCCCTGTTATTGGGGCAGGACCCACTACGGGACTGCAGTCTGACCTAAGGTGAGTTACAGGCGCACTTCTATCATTCAAATATGTGGTAAAAAACAAAAATGAAAACAAGAAAGGATCCCCAAACACATGTTTTGGTTAAAGGTGAGTCTCAGGTTTAAACATGTTTAAGACTTCTGTTCTAGTTGGATTGGAGGAAGATATTGATTGTATATTATCTTGGAACATTACCTCCAGGCCTGTGTTTTTAGAAGTCATGATTAACTGTTTATAAATTTGTTTGGTAGTATCTATGAGACAAGGAACAAACTACTAATCTTAGATATTTGCATTGGAAATATTTGCTAGAAGTGCCAAACTAATGCTGAACAATATAATAGCATGGGTAACAAACACATCGCAGATGTATTCACTTTCAAGAATATCTCTGGGTCCACGTGGTTGTTAAAAGTGGTTGTGGTTGCAGCCCAGCACTTTGTTCTAAAGTATGGAAAGAAGAAAAGTATGCAAAGAAGAAAAAGGTAAGCAGTAGGCAGGTGGATACAGAGAGCCCAGGAGGTACAGATAAGGTGATGGGAAGTGAGGGAAGGTATTTTGCCTGTACTTTGTGTGTGTTCCTCAGAGCACTACAAGTTTGCCTTCTGTGGAATTGGTGTTTTCATACCCCTAGCAATTTATTGTCCCTGTAGTGTCTTCTCTAGCTTCCTGTTCAGTTCTATATCTGCTTTCCACACATTAACAAAATAGGCAGCAGTGTCTTTTTAGAACAGTTTCTAGTGAGACACTGAAGTGTAGTTGGAATAGTTACTACATTAAATATGCATTTATGTTTAATACATTTTAAGCATACTTGACTCAAAATACAGACAACCTAACATTCTGTTATTTGTTAGTATCATTCCTGGATCACAACCAGAAAAAATAGAGTTGTTTTCTTTCAATAGTAGTGAGATTTTTTTATCATGTAAATATACCCCAATACCTATATAAACCCTGGTTGGGTGCCAATTGACTCATTATTAAAAACAACAGTCTGGCATTGTTTTTTAAAAACCTATTTTGTAACCATATTTAAAAATGCTGCTTGAATATCAGGAATAGATTGATGGCAAGCTAAGCAACTTAGCTTTTCACAAAAAGGGTTAAATAGACATGAATGAACACTGAAATAAGGCTTTTAATATTCTGAAAATATTAACAAAGAAAAATGATAATGTTGAGTTAATGTGGGTTAAGGATGAAATGAAAATAAATTTTTCTGATTGCTAAGTGTTGACACTTTTTTGGCTAGTCCCTCAGGTCTTTTTTTAAAGTCTGTGTAATTACAGAAGGCTTTTCCCCTCCTTCCCCCTCCTGCTTTGAGCCCACATTAGTAATGACCCTTTCACTGCTTCAAAAACCACTAATAGTCTTCAGCAAAGGCAAGAAAAATGAACAGGATAAATTGGAATCCACAGTCAGTAATTTGCATCATATGAGGCTGCTTTGGCCACTCACACTCATTTCTGGCCATCAATCCTTTGCTGTCAGGTGCTGCACTCTGCCACCATGATAAATACTCCTCCTAACACTCTGATTCGTCCAAACAATGTAATTGTCCTCTATTCTCCTCTTGGTAATGGAGATAATGAATGACTGCACAAACAAGAAGGATTGCTCATCACAGACACAGGGGTGGTTTCAAAGTGAAAAGCCTTGAGTACAAATTTTAATTGACTGAAATTCAGGGCTGGAGAAAAAGATGGAAGAAATGGTCTGTATTTTCAACAAGCTTATTTATTTTCAGTTACAGTGAGCCTGCTCTTTCCTAAGGAACCACACAGTACCAGAAGCATCTATATATGTACAAAGCATATTTCTGTGCATGATGACTTATTAGCGTAATGATGTTATTTCTAAAATATGATAATATTATATTACTAGGCAGTAATTAATTGCAACTGATTTGCCTTTTAAAATATATAAAACATTAACAGAAATAATATTTTAATTATATAGAATATTGAGATTGAGGAACGCAATAGGTCTCTATCCTGAAGGTACAAGGAAGGTATTCTAATTATGCTTTCTTATGAGTAATTATGTTTAGTATCAGAGCTATAGTTATCCTCTCACATACATATGTCAAACTCAGTGACACTATTTGCATGTAAAGGCAGCAAATCATAGGTAAATCAATGCTGTATTCTTTGGTAAACTATTGGTTGTTTAACCTACACTTAACCCATAGTGACTGGGTTTGAATGTCATGAGCAACCTTTGACTGAGTTGGTCAGAGGTTGCATATGCAAAATGATGGTGGCATGCCACCATTAGGTACAAACAGTTCCAATGTATCAAGCATGGTAGAAAGAAGGAAGGTGTTACTAAATTCTATGCTACAGTGATATATATGAAACAGAAACTAGCTAATCAGTAGGAAAACTGCTTAAATCAGATTCGGTCAACTGACCCTCTTTGACTTCAGTACTATATCCAAGACTGATATACAACTAAAGATGAACTAAATACAGAACTTCACCTCACACAAATGGCCCTTATTAGTCTTAATTAAGAATGAAGAACAAAATAGCTAAACTTTATCCTATATGGCATTATGTATGTGTGTGTGTCCCTTCCTTAAATCAGTGATGCTATGGTTTTTTAAACATGAAGTGGACTGTTTATCTGAAAGTGTTCTGGCAGGCTGCCACCACATTGCTAAAATTAAATAAAGGATTTGAAAACAATCAGCATTTTGAAACAGTTGAGACCACAGCAATATGTTTCAGATTAATTTACAAATATATGTATATATTTAAGACTAAACTACAGAACTAGAAAATTCCTCCTAGTTAGCCTATCACGTGCCTCCTTACACTTTATTAGAACAGACATCATATTGAAATAATAAACATGGGGGGCTTTCATTTCTTCTTTGATCTATATTACTAAATGTCTAACTGGCTCAGTTTTAAAATAAACTCTGGTATGTTTGCACTTGGAAACTGGAAGGAGACCACAAGGCATAATTTGTTGTCACTTTTCATATTGTCTAACTAAACTATAGTTTAGTCTATGCATTACAGGGTGCCAGGCAATGTTCATCCAGTCACCCATACTATGGCTAAATATTCTTATATTAATTCATAGTGTAATATGGTGGCAAGCAACAATGATTAATCACTTTATCAGAATGGAACCAGACAAAAGTAAAGGCATAATTCAAAGCTCTATGTTTCCCAAGTAACTAAAGCAACAGCAGACAAGTAGCTTTGCAGTAAGAAGATTTGTTGTATACAGTATTCTCATATGTTCACATGACTCCAGTTCTCCGTCAGCTTCACTGGCTCCCCATTGAAGTCCGGGCCCAATTCAAGGTGTTGGTTATGACCTATAAAGCCCTTAACGACTTGGGTCCTGGTTACCTGAAGGAGCGCTTACGTCCATATATGCCCGCCCGCCCCTTGAGATCAGCGGGAGAGGCCCTTCTCTGGGAACCCTCCATGAAGGATA